TCAGCGCTACTCAAGTTTGTCACAAGTTGTTCTCGTCCTCCTCTTCTCGGATTCAAGGTATTTGTGTTTTCTGTTCTACTTATTTTCACATCACCGTAAGCTTCTCAGAAATTTTAGAAAAAATTCATAAATTAGAAGTACAGTAGAACCTCGTTTTTACGTACCCCAGTTATACGAACCCTCGGTTTTTTACGTACGCCTCGTATCGACGATGACGTCATCAAAAACCCCAAAAATATTCAAAACAAACGGCCCTTTTCAGAGCAACCATAAGTAAAAAGACTATGACAATAAACTATAACAATAAACAAACCATAATGCAACGTATTTTCATTAAACATCAACGTTGATTGAGTCTAATATCGGGTTGTTATAGTCTAGAACCATGTGAACTGAGTGAGATGAAAAACTACCGATGGTGCTCAAAATAATTTCTTTCCTCTTTAGCTTTGTGTGGCAAACCATGGAAAAACTCCTCTGGTCGAATTTTCTACACGAAGCTGAGTAGACATAGTTTTGTACACGAACGCTAATTGGTTGGCTCGCCCAGTGCACAGCACATGGTTGCTGTTTCACGTACACAAACGCTAATTGGTTGGCTCGCCCAGTGCAGCGCACATGGTTTTAGTTTGTCTCAACAGGCCCAGACAAACCACAGCTCTGTTGTTTAGAATAGGCATGAAGGGGAATTCCCAAGTTTTACCTTTGTCGTATAGGTAATCTTACAGTATTTTCATGTTATTTAGTTATTTACTTATAAAGTAATGAATCCCCTGATTTACGTACGCCCTCCAGTCCTGTACCGTACGTAAAATCGAGGTTCTACTGTAGTTTAATTAGCTTGGGATGTGTGTAGAAATTGTAATAATTGAAACTTTTTCTTCTTTTGGTAAAATTGATTAGGAATTGGTGCCATCATTTTGTGTTCACTATGGAGGAGCTGAGGAAAGATTACCAACAGCAAGTACTTGTATGAACTTACTGAAATTACCAGAATTTAAGTCCGATGAAACTATGAGGGAAAAGTTGGTTTATGCCATCGAGTCTGAGGCAGGATTTGAACTAAGTTAGGAACTTTGAGACTGCCAAATATGTGTAGTTTTATAGAGAACATAACACATTTAATATTTTTATTCATATATGCTGGCCTTTAGTTCTGCTAACAAGCCGTCATTTTGCTGTGCTATAACTTATTTTCTTTAAATATTTTTGTAAACTTTACCCAATAATATATGTGCAATGGGATAAATTGAGCACTGTTTAGCGTATTAAGGCCTGTTTACACTATGACGATAACTATAAAATCTAAAAAGCAGTTGTTCATATAGGAAATAAAAGAAATTTTATAGCTTTTCCCTGATGATGATGTCATTTGAATTGACTTGTGAAATTATTTTTTTATCGTATACACGATAAATTGTTATCAAATCGTGCTAGAGTGAAAAATTCTCTTATTTCTTTTATTTTCTATATGAACAATTGCTTTTTATCATTGATCGTTATCGTCATACTGTAATCAGACCTTAAGACCGTGTACTGCACAATTGCACATATATCTACAATATTCAAATTCAAGTGTTATGATTAGGCCAGAGAAGAATTGGTTGTGTGGCTCAAACTTTGTGACAGTTGAAAATCATGGTTGGTCAGTTGGAAGTTGTTTCTTTTGATATATTATCTTTAGTACGATAGGTCTACGGTATGTGTAATTCTAGGGGTTGTCTTTAGTGTGATAGGTCTATGTTTAATTCTAGGGGCTATCATTAGTACATTACGATAGGTCTGTGCCTAATTCAAGAGGCTATCTTTAGTACGTTATGATAAGTCTATGCCTAATTTTAGGGTGCATGGCTAACACTAACCTCCCTTTTGACTGTTGAAGTGGCAACAACCGGGCTAAAATCCATTAATCAAATTAATAACTATTTTTATTGGATCCACTGAAGGCAAAAAAATCTGACTTTTAAAATTCTTGAATTATATAGTGGCAGACCAGAGGATCAGGGCACAATACATGATTTTGTGAAGCTTCACTCTTTTATAATGATCTTTTGTTGCTGTTGATCCAAAATATGAAATGAATGTGTTAATTTTTTAACATTTCTTAAGGAATAAGTAAATAAAAACAGATGATGTTTGGTTTTCAACAAAAAATGAAAAGTCCTATTTAAGAATGCAAGATTAATGATTCCAAGGCTATTAATAATAAACCACATCAGCTTTTGTTTAATTAGTAAGCAATACTAGATATTGATATTTTGTGTAGAAATTATCAATTATTATGATCATCATAAGCAACATTATTATCTTAGATATCGTTGCATAGTTTGACTTACTGATTGATTATTGCCATTAAATTGTGACCGGTTTTCGTCTAGGTAGGGCTTATGGCCATATACTGTATGTACTATAATGATTGTTACGCATTATTGTTGTTAACATATTTATCAACATACTATAAACAGTCCTTGATTTACTATAATAATAATATTACTATGTGGTTAGAATCAATTTTTTTTTGTTAATTGTGGCTGTACAATATATACAAAAAGCTACAAAATATGCCATAATACCTCGAATAGAAGCCCTGGGCTTCTTTTCTTTGCAAACTTGTAAGGGTTTGCTTTTCGAGATGGACTTCTTTTTGAGATGGACTGTTTTTAAAGGCTGTTTTACAAACTAAAGAGGTGGGTTTCTTTTCAAAATGAATCCTGTAAATTTTGGAATTACTACTATAAAACAATTATCAGTCTGTAGGCCTACCATAGAGTATATTAACTGAACTACATTATAAACCAAGCGTGTTTATAATATATATATATTTTTTTTTTATTCATGTACAGTGTATTTATTTTACTATCTCGAAAAAAAGCTCTTGGGATTCTTTTTCATGGGCTTCTTTTGGAGGCTACTTTTGCAAAATTAAAAGGGGGCTCCAATTCGAGATTAAGCCTATTGGGCTTCCATTCGAGGTTTTACAGTAGTACGGTAATCGGTTATGGATATCTGTAATGAAATTATATCAGAGTAACATACATATCCTATTTATTTAACTTTATAATAGGGTCATAATTTTGTTGTTTGTATTCATTTATAAATGAAAATTAAATTACCTGAAATCTTGGTTTTAATTTATTCGTTCCGTCGTTTAATACGTGCGAGGGATAGCAGAGGTCAGAAGAACAATGCCAAACTTAATTCTTTTGTCAACCAATTAAAAGATACCACTTTTCATTCTTTTTATCACCCAAAATATAAAAATGACCTAAAAATGAAATTACTGTAATATAACTTTGAATTACTCATAGCGGGACCACAACTTTATCAAATCTTTCAATAAGTTACAGATCGAAAAAAATAAATTATTTTACTTCAAATTTGCTGCCAGAAATATATATGTTATTGGAAAACATAGACCATTTAATTGATGAGTAAATGTCATTATGATTTTCATCTGAAAGCCAAAATACATTGAAATAAACAAACTAAAACTTTTAAGTTGTCATAGCTCAAGTAGACTTGTTTTACACTTTTATGCAAGTTTGTTTACCGTAATTTTGATTTTGTTTGTCGTCGTTCATATAAGTAAATTTTCCACGATCTGAAGAGATATGCGACACATGAACATTTTCCCTGCGACCCTTAGGTAGCGGAATGGTGATCTAAATAATGTAAATAATTTTAAATTGATTTAATTCAAATTTAATTAAAAATAACCTCCAAACAAGAAGCAGCATACATAAAAACATGTTAAAACATTGGAAATAAAACATTGACTTCAATTATAAAATGTCAAATAATTTAAACACTGCACAATGTCACTTAACTGTATAAATAATACGGTACTGTATGTAAAACATTTTAACAAGATACTATTAGATACTATTTCTGTAAACTAAATTTTTTTTTCATATTACTGTAAACCTAATGGGTTTTGATAAATTTACTCTGCACTACGGAATTTCCAATAAAAAAAAAGAAAATTAATTAAAAAGACCGTAGATTAAAAATAAGTAAGGCGTAACATATTTTTAATCTATGTTAAAGCATAACTATTTTTTACATAAAGAAATTTAGTAAATTAAATTATTATTTGTGGCTTTTATTTATTAAATCAATTAAGAACATAATCTCAAAACAAAATTTATTGACAAGAAAGATCGACGCTTCGGGTCCATCATGGAACCATTCTCAAGATCAAGTAAATTGTAAAAACTAAAGGAAGTAAGTAATTAATTTACATATCAATAGGGCCTAATGTGTGGAGTCATTATAGTGTAGCTAAGCAATATCAATCAATCAATCAATTTATTTGGAAATTGCACCTTTGCATCGGTGGCACACACAAAAAGTGGTGCATCCATATTAAGAAAAACACAGCACGTCTTAAACTAATCTTACAGGCATTAAAAAGCTACAGTAGAAAATACATTTGAACAAAATTTTCGGTCTTAAATTA